ATTCGGTCGTTTTCTATTACGTGCTCCTATTCTTAAAACTTGTCTATGACAGTCTCTTTATCGCTTTACGTGTCATGGAGCTCGAAAGGAAATAAAGAAAATGGCGTCCCGAAGGGATGTGCCAGATTGACTGGCACTGTTGCGTCATTTTGAGTTTTAGTACGACACGAAATGGAGGATGAAAATAAATAAGATTTTATTATCATATTTCAGGGATTTTTCATTTTACGCCGAGAAACCATCCGAGCCTTCGGGAGGGGGCCACGGACAGTGCCCATAATATTTCGGTCAGCGATCCTTCTTAAAGATGCCTATCGGTTCTTATCCGGCCATGCATCGCTCGTGGAAATCTTATCTCAGAGCCGCTTCAGCCGCCTACCACTCTGTCATCTCACGACGCCGGATTCTGCTTTGATCCCTCTTGCTTCGAGTTTACAATTAAAGGGCTGACATAGCCATTTGGGAGCTGTGCATAACTTCGGAATCATTAGCCGCATGGATTATGTATGCACGTATCGTTTCAGTTAAATTTCGAAAATATGTTACAAAGCATCGATGAAACACGATCTTAAGATAATTATAAAGAATCATCATTTGAGGGAGAGAAATGCATTTTGACTTATTAAATGCAAAGAAGTCCGTTTTGTTATCTTTAAGATTTGTAACGCGTTACAGCGCATACAATGAGAGAAAATTCCTCGGATTGAAGAAAATTTCCTTCATTGAAACGAATATTTAATTCAACAAACAGGATTCTTCAGTTCCTCAAACAGAAATAAATATGTGAAAATTACGCCAAATTCCTTGAATATTTTCATTCAAATGTTAATATTATGTCTAATGTTAATATTATGTATATATGTCAATATTTTCATTCAATTCCACCCAGCGCGCTGTACAGAGTTTGTCATTTCACTAATGACAAAATCTCGGGATTTGAATCGACCTTTTTCCTTTGGTAACGGCATAATCTATTTCTATCTCCGATCTCCGCCGCGCGCCGGGTGGATCTACAAACTTTTGCGTGTCGGTCGCGCCGTGGCGGTCGCCTTTGCCGTCTCACGAGCGGCGTCTCACGAAGAAACATACACTTTTAGTGGATCGTAACAGAACTTTAGTGGACCGTAAATCCCGTCGACATTTCCAATTATGTCGGTTTTCGCGCAGGGTTCCCGCGGCTACCACCTACCCGTGTTTTGGAGCGTGTCCCTATGTACCGTGAGAGATAATCCTCGTTCCGAGTGTTTCCTTCCTCTTGGCGAGCGAAACTTGATCGCGGGAGAGATCAATGGCTCGTGGCGATGAGGTCAGAGAAATATGTCGATTACGCCCGATTCAGAGAAAACTTCTCTTTTTATGTCGCTCTTAATTCCAGGCTGTCCTTACGCGTGTGCAAATATCCAAAATTTTGGTTCTACGCTGATATCGCAAATTCTACCGAAAATGTCCTTCTCTCCATTAATTTGCCTGTACTGGATTATTTGCCGATCACACGTATTCTATCTATACTTTGGTAAGTTTAAAATTACGAGCAAAAGATTAAATGAAATATCGAGGTAATTAGATGTGAAAAAATTCTTTGATAAATCCTTCAAGATGGAAAACAAGTTTAATGGCAAGTCCAAAGCAGTGCCCGAAAATCTCCCGATTGGTCCCACAATCTCTTCGGGGGTTAAGCCGAAATTTCGAGCCGGGTTCTCGCGCGCGTTCCAAAGGAGAAGGAAAGAAAGCTAATATCCGCCTCCTACGAGCGGCCGTGACTACGCAATAAATCGAGCCATTTCAGTCTAATGATTAATTAAATATAATGACTGCACCGGCCGTGACTGATGAGCCGGCTAAGACAATATCCGCCTTGAGCCGAATGCGGACGTAGACGTATGACCGCGCCCGCAACATTGTGATCATTTGAAATCGCGCGTATATCATGCGCCAGGTGTCGTTCGCATATTCGAAGATATATGAATATCATCGTGTGTGCTTGTATCGTTTTCTGCGCTTTCGCATAGAATACATCGCGACATTAATAACCACCATAAAGATGGACTACGAAATAACAAAATGGCGACGTCCTTAAAATCGCTGCGTGTCGGGCAGGAAAGGGGGAAAAAAAGAAATGTGTGCAGCGAGTTCGTAAACCCGCCCGAGCGTATGCGCATAGATTTGTCTTCGCCCGATGTCCCGCGCTGTTAGTAAGCGACAGAAGGTGGATGGAAAGCATCATTCAGTCGTCCGTGCCTCCTAAGTGCAGCGTGAGAGAGAGAGAGAGTCCACCTTTATGGTAGTTATTAATATCAAATAGTCAGCCACCGTGCCCATTATGGACATAATGGGACACCATTTTTTGCCGCGACAATGAGGCACCCCGTTAAAACGCTCGATGTATTTGCATTATTTATGCGGATGATTAAGTCCCGTGTAATATATTCGCGGGGGGAGCGAACAACGTTAAACAAAAGTGGAATAGCGAGTATCACCGAAATGCGGAGACTTATGAGATCGCGCCGATACAAGACGAAATTGAGTTCCTGCCTGTGGTTCCAGTCAGGCTGATTTTTCCGTCCGGGGGCAAAAGGAAAGGCGCGAATCATAGCAGCGTCGTATATCAAAGCTGACGCAGTACCTCAAAGGATACTACTGCCTTCTCGTTGGATTAATTAATATTCTACGCGATGTGAAATACTTCTCTATACCGTTAACTACCGGTCCCGCGTATTTTATCCGCTGCCTGCGCGCGCTGTATTATAAATCAACGTGACAATCGTCCCTCGCAGTGGTACTTCCAGGATACGTATATCCTGTATAAGTGCTATGTATTAATGGCGCGGCAACAGAGTTACCGTATAACACTCGCGTACGTATCGGCAATTAGAAGCGAACGTCTACTGCCCGCTAATTAGTTCAAAGGAGCGTAAAGCCGACACATTTTACGCGCGTCCATTTTCCCCGGCGAATTAATTCGCCGCTTATTTCCCGATAAAATTCGGATTATTCGCGAGAATCCTATATTCGAGGCATAAACAGCTCCGTGAACGAATAGTAATCGCTAATTAATTTCCGCGACCGGTTCTCGTATTTTTGCCGCGTCTATCAGCCGATCGTTTCTTATCCCAGGTTATTAGACGCGAGAGACATCAAATCCATGAGGTCCAAGCTCTGCAGAGACTTTGTAATCATCGCCACGAATCCTACCCACCAATCCGCTCCTTATCGAGAGAGGGAGCACGTGTTGAGCGCGTGAAAGAGCGCGCGAAATGGGAGACACAGAACAAATCAATATATTGCTTCCGACACGTCGTATATTATAGATTCGTACGAAATTTACAAAGACGAACGATAATATCCGTGCAACGGATAGTTCGCGTAGAAGTAAACTAACTGCGGCACGGATAACACGCGCCTTTGAAGCGTGTTTACAATTTGAACGAATCGTTGCCGAGAAACAATAAACGCCGCCCTCCTGTTTTACGTGTCGAATGCAGTACGTAATTTTTATGTGTGCGAGACAACGTCTTTGTTCTCATCATCTGGAAGCTTTCAGAATATTCTTCGCCACTACATTGTCTCGAACACACAGAAAAATACTCCATTCACGTAAATGTGACGAGTATTTCATAAGTTTATATATCACAAATTATCGTCAAATTTCAAATTCAAAATATGTTCCGAATTCTAGCAAGTTGAGTACTTCAATGAAAAATATGAACCTTAATCGCAATATCCAATATTTTTTCTTCACTACTTTTAACGTACATTAGTGGCTGGTCTGGTTTATGATTTAAATACGTTTTTTTTCTCTTTCCGATACACTATTAAATAAGTTGCTAAATTTCAGGTAAAATCAGCATACAACAACAGTTGAGAAACAATAATTTCCAATGTGGAATTTACCGCGCGATCTAGATAATATATTCGCCTAAAATTCAAATAGCTAATAATAATAAATAAAAAGCCCTGTGAGCAATTTTCGCCGTCTAAGAAATGCGTCGGGTCATCCTGCGAGCCCTCAAAATATGAGTAACACGGCGTACAAATGTCCCGTTCCAAATACGAAAGATAGGAGATAGCCGACACGCGCTAGAGGTCACGGCAACAGCGACGCCCAGAGGTAGTCCCGCCGCGATGGGCGTAGAGCGTAAACCCGATCCTGACTTGCGCCTTGGTGGGCACAACCGCCCATCTGGCCGCGGTAGATTGGCGCGTGCCTCGCTACCCGGGTCTCCAATGATAATAAGTGATCCATCAGCACCAATGGTGCGCTGGTATCCACGAGGGAACGCTTGCCAGTGGCAGAGCCCGTGCCCACGTCCGCATGGTAAAGCCATGGCTCGAGTAGGGAGAGAAGGCGGCGTCAACAGCAAGGTGGTGGGAGAAGCCGAAGAAGGATACGACAGAGCGACAAAGAGCACGAGGAGACGAGAACGTGTGTGCGTTGCTCCGAGGAAGATGGAAGATCCGAAATCGGCCGAGTCGGCCCTCGAGTGCCGGCGAGTCCTTACTCAGTCCTGCTGTGAACGCAGCAAGGAGCACCACGGGTATTTCGGCTTTTCTGTTTCGACGGGACTACCACGGCGCGCCGTCCTCACGCGAACGACGGTGTTGACTTTTTGCGTATCGTGTCGGCTGAAACACGGGACGGGTGCTCCGGAAGTACAAAAGTGCGCGGGGCTCGCGATGAGAGGGACGGGACAGTGTGATAAACGTGGACTTGCATGCTAGTCGCAACGCGATGAGACGCGATGCGTTATTGTGGAGTACTCGTGAATACTTCGACGAGGAACTCGACGATGGACTGTGCTGCGTATAAAACCGTACGCAAAAGACCATTGAACTTCGAACCAAGTGCACACGAGCCGTGGACTTAATGACGCGCGGCGTGTGAACTTTTTCAGATCTCTGTTTTACAGTACATATAAATATATGTATATAAAATCGGAGCTTAGATGATAATATCGCGTACCGTTTTCTTGTGATAATTCCCCGAAGTCAAGCTCATCACGATGAACGGTTACCTCGACGGCGTGCCAGCTCACCCGCTCAGCAATCTGAGCCTGAAACTCTCGCCCAGCGGCACGACCGGAGGATCGAGCGACATCGGCATTCAACCGGCCCCGGACGAGGCGTCCTCTCAACAGCACCACCATCACTTTCACCACCAGGCCTATCCGTCGCATCATCCTCACACGGCTACCCACGTGACTCCGCACATGGGCCACCATATGACCCACCATCCGAGTTACACCCGAGAGTTCCTTCTGCGACGAGAACACGAGTTCTCGACGGCGAGTCCCGCCACTCCGGAGAGCGGCCTAGGCCTGTTCCCACAGCTGCACCATGACAGCACCGCCGCGACGATGCAGCAATTCCCGCACCATCCCGGCCAGCATCCGTTGACGGCCGGTCACTACGCCGCGCATTATCCGCAGGACTCCAGGCTACCGCCTCCCCAGTACATCGCCGCGTCTCACCTGACGTCCTCGTCCATCCACCATCAGCAACACCCGGTCGTGGGCCACGGGCATCCTCCCTTCATGAGGTACGTGAGGACCAACTGCGCCGGCGGCGGCGGTGGTGGCGGCCCGATCGGCGCCGTCGCCGTCGCCGGCGGCCAACGTCAAGACATGTCTTGCATGTGGATGGACCAGGACGGGCCGAGCAAGAGTATCTGCGGCAAGAGCTTCAACAGCCTCCACGACATCGTGACGCATCTCACGGTGGAACATGTGGGCGGACCCGAGTGCACGACGCACGCGTGCTACTGGCAAGGCTGCTCGCGTAACGGTAGAGCCTTCAAGGCCAAGTACAAGCTCGTCAATCACATAAGGGTGCACACTGGCGAGAAGCCCTTTCCTTGTCCGTACCCGAACTGCGGCAAAGTCTTCGCCAGGTCGGAAAATCTCAAGATACACAAGAGGACGCACACCGGTGAGTAGCGATATCGAGCGACGACATCCAATTAGAGAAATCCTACCGGCGGCGCTTTCTCAGATTCCATCCTCGGGAATTCCTCGGATCCCATCGCGATGCTTAGATCCGAATCAAAAGTTCCACGAACCGATTCGTCTCGAAAGCCCCTGTGTCTGCCCCGTCAAATCGCATAAATTATGTAAACCGGCCGCCTCGTGGCGTGAGTCATTCTCGAAACGGCCGTGCGCGAGAATGATTAATTCGAGAACGACCACTTGCTCCCGAAGGTTGCGGACAAAGCCGGGAAAAAGTTCGCTTTCCTACCGAGGAGGACCGCATAAGTTATTATCCCTCTCTTTTTGCCCTAGTTGTCTCATGAGGACGCGCCGTTTCAATATAATCAACCGGCTGTTTACGATGACAAGAATTTTTCGGAGCGCAGTTTAGAAATTACCGGACCGTATATCGTGTCGTTTTATGCCCGCGGACATTGTATTTACATATTTATTCGAGCGTGCTCATCCGACGGCTAGACGTCTCGGATTCCTCTCTCTCTCTCTCTCTCTCTCTAAACTTACTCATTTCACCGTGTGATCTTATCGCTTTCTCCTCCACTCTTGGCCAATCATTTGCTCTTATAATTAACCACAATAATTACAAAATAGTAAACGGATGCATGTTGTTAACATGATTGTATAATCTATTAGATGCTTAAAGTTTATGTCAACGCGTTACGTAATAATCGCTGAGGTCACTAAAAATAATATATTCTCTAAAAAGATCTTTAATAGAAATGATTTGATCATTAAGAAAAAAAGTAAACAATAAATAGTATGGGAAATGCAAGAATTCTTGGATTCCAGTGGAAAATTCCGCCAACTTGTAAATATTCCGATCTAACATAATTCTATCTACTAAATAATCCACGAGGACGTAAACACGACTCAGGATGTTTGTACCTACATTAGAGAAGAATCTCTCTTCCGTCACGATGAAACTGTCCGTAACAATCTACAGCATTCGGAAATTTCTCAACCGTTCACGTAACGCGATTGGATTTTCCGTGCGTGCGACTGAATATCCCCGAATATTCGCCGAGCAACCATCACCGCGTATAAACCGGCAATGTTTCACCGAGAAACTTGTAGTCAACACGAAGAGATCTATCACACATAAACATACGGCCGGATATGTATATTATTTCGCTCGCCCACCCGCTCTTAATGACTTTTAATAATGAAATCGCGCGGGGGTATACTACACACGCAGGTGCTCGTATTTTCGTTCGCACGATGCGGATTCGCGCGCTCATCGTCGTAACGCGTGCGTCGGAGGGGAGGGGACCAGCAGTATATCACGTGTGATTAAATTTCGTTTTCATTTATAACAAACGCCACCCTTCCGACGCCATTGTAGAGCTCTCTTTCCCGTGGCACCCCCTGTCCCTCCTCGGTTGACAGTTTGGGACTCGCCCAGATCGACGCTGTTTGCCACCCTATGCGGCGCGTTGAGATATTGTTGCAGCAACTATTGTCCCCTTATAGAGCGGTTGAAGCCGCTCCAAAATCGTCTGGATATTTATATGTTCGTTATAAATATTGAGGGATCTTTAACGCACCGACAGAAAATTACAGTTAGTTTCGGTGCCATATAGTAGCAACATGCATATAAGGTTTATCACATGACTATAGTAATGCGCTTACAGAACGCTAGAACGCGCTAGAACAATTTTTATGACTAAAGGATATATTTGGCGCCGAAATTAATTACAATTTTCTATCAATACGATATCTTTTATGGCTGCCTCAAGTTGCACCGTCTGCGCTTAAAATGATTGCGAGATAGGTTCGGAAAGTGCAGCTGTAAAGTCTTGACTGACTTGAAAATGTTCTCATCCAACACGGACGCACGATTTGCAACCGCTCGTTTAAATAACACGACGCTCGTGCAAGAAGAAAGGTGCGTAAAAAACTTGGTTGAAAACGATCAGCAGGCAACGAGTTGAATTCACTTCTGCTCGCCTACGTGGCAACGACGAGGCTCACGCGACCCTCGTTGAAATAAATTCGAGAAACGATCCATGCACGGCTTCACGCATTGTTTTCACCTCGCCCGTGAACACACACGTTATTATATGCCTCTTTGCGCCCGCTCCTCTTTTTTCCACGCTGTCGAAACACGTAAATACGATTTGGCAGCGGCATTCTGTCGCTTAGCGAGTGGTATGGTAAATATTTTCCTCGGCATGTTCTCTATTCAGACGGTCGTGTATTCCCGTCGGGCAAATTTGAACGGACCAACGCGTCTATTCCGTCTCGGCATCTATCTCGTTAGATTATCGATATCTTTACCGAGTAGGTACTCTTCGAGGTAGTCGCCAGATATTCTCTAAACAACGCAATCTTGCAGCACAAAGGAGCGATTTTTACAGCACGACCGTTTCAGATTACACCGCGATATTATAATGACGCTTTGACACCATGAGGGATTCCAAGCGCAAATAGTCAAGTACGGGACTCGGTGACGTTGCGTTTAACGATGATAGATGGTACGCCGCGGCCATTAGCATAGAAATGATTTCGAGTCGCGGCATCGAAACACCGGCCGTAGCTACCACAATGCAGCGGACTAAATTATCGTCGTCGGTCTCTTCGACATAAAGAGCAAATCGTAGGCTAACTGTTAACCGGTCGCAATCTGCTCACCGAGCGATCGGGAAAATCAAACGGGCTCTCACTCTCCTCATCGGGGAAGATCGGCCCTATTAATCCGCAGATGCGCTGGCGTTCGTCATTAGACCAAATTGATATGCATTTTAAAGCAGCTTACTCCTTCTTCCCCCCCCCCCTTCCTTCCCGGCAAAAAGATACGAAGAATAGTCTGTTACGCGTAAAGCCGATCTCGCGTGTGCGTGGAACGAAGAGCGGCGATTGGCTCGATCGACAATGGATCCCACGGCTTGTACGGCATTGGTCAGGATTTTTCGAGGGTTAGACGCGGAGAATAGGGGGATGATACAGGATGAGTCGCCGAGGGGTGTTGTAGAATAAGCGTTAAGTAGGGGACGAGCGTGTCGAAGAGGGGCCTTGCGAGTAAATGGCTACTTACTCGAGCTGCAACGCGTACGAAAAAAAAAAAATATATACGAACCGGTTCCGGCGAACCCTTAATTGTCGCGCGGTGACGATAAACGAAGTGCTCTCGCTCCTCGTCGATTCCTTCCGTTATTTTTCTTCGCTCGACTTTCCCCAGTCGTTACAATTGCATACGCTGCATGTAACCCTCCCTCTCTCAGAGCAACGTACGACGTCGTCGCTACCACTATTTCGTCGGAAGTCACGGAGTCCTCCAGAAACGGAGGAGTTACCGATCCGATCGTGCCGCGCCGTGAGTTGCCGCCGGCGTAAAGGCAATTACTCTCGGCGGAGGCCGGTGTATTTTTACGTGCTTAGTGCGCGACGGAGAGGACGATAAAACGTCGCGAGGAAGAAGGGAGGTAGAGAGGAGGAAAGAGACGGCGGCGTTGGGAGAGTAGAGTCGGTGGTTCGCTCGGGTCCGTCGCTTTGTGGAACGTCGAGGGTACGAAAAACGCGTTTCGAGCGACCGAGAGAAACGGAAAGAGGAGGAGAAAGGGCGACGAGAGAGAGAGAGCGGGATGGAAAGGCCACGAGAAATTATGAGAAGTACGAGGCCGCACGTGAAAGAGTAACGAGGAGCGGTGCGCGAGACGATATTTGCTCAGCCAACCACTGCACCGGCTGGAAATCGGCAGTTTAAACAGGGATACGCTTCTACATCTGACGATGGATTTTACCGCAAAGCCATCTCTCGCGATAGCATCTCGACCGTGAAACGGCATCGGTGCCGAAAAGTTTATCGCGCACGACGGATCAGAGAGTAAGTTTCGCGTTAACCCCCGACAGAAACTTGCGAAACTCAACAAAGACGCGAATTACTCTTCGTTACCGCGGAAGGAAAAAGTCGACGGAACATTTTTAGACACACTTTCACTGACCGGTCGGAAATTTATGCGAGGTTTTGCGCAACCGACCAGAAATGCCTCTAGGAACGATGATAGCGGCATCGCGTCGATCGGACGGAAGATCGATGCCGGCGTGAGATTATCATCGTATCGACGAACTTATCGGAATCTTTCTGTCTGGAAGATCGATGGAACAAGCCAGCGCGCGCACACCTCGATCGGACCGAGAAATTCGATTTGGAGATAACGCTGCGGCGTCGTGAAATCGCTAGACGACCGCAATCGTTCCAACGACGGATACGTATACAATTGACAGATATGTACAATTCTGCGATTTCGAGAACAGCTCACGAAGATCGATAGATCCTTGGGTATCTGCGTCACCATCACCAACGAGAGAGAGATAGAAACGGTTCAAAGTTGAGAGCAGTTTGTACGCTCCGTACTGATTGCGGATCGATTGGAACGTCTATTGCTTTTCTGGTATCAGCGACCTCGAACATTAACTGAAATTCACGAATGCTCCGGTCTAATTTGTGATCGTTTGTTTTTATACCTTAGATACTGGAATAATAAACGAGAGACAAATAATATTATAATATGGACAATCATTTTCTGATAAAAAGAATGAGAAGGAAGTTGCTTCAATATCGACGCGAGAGCGAAGTATATCGTCTCCCTTTATAAGGTAGAAATGGACACGAACGGTAAAAAAAAAAAAAAAACTTCCAACGCTAAACCTTCTAAACATCATCTTTTGAGAAAAATATTTTTTGTTTCATCAATCGCTTTAAAAATACTAGTGAAAAGGGGAAAATTCATAATTTCGAATATTTCGGAAAAAAAAATACTGGAAAAAATCGAACAACACTAAAACAGTAATTTTTTGACCGAAAATGTGAGAGGATTGGATGAAAGAAAGAAGGTATTTCATATCCTTATTAAATTGATGGATAAAAAAATTGGTCAATGTTCTGTCTCTCCAAAGCAAAAAAAGGAAAGAATTTGATAAATGTTTGAAAAAACGCCAAATCGA